GCTGAGAGCACCTTGCCCTTGGTCTGGATCACGGCTTCTTCGGCTCCAGTGGGCGGGGACGCCGGCGTCTCCGTCGGGGCCGCGGGGTCGGCGCCGGCGCCTTCTTCTTGCCCTTCTTCTTGGCGAAGAAGCTGCTTACCTTGGCATCGGGAGTCGAATCCATTTTTGGACCCCACAGCCTTCCGTCTTGGGATTGGGTAATAATCGATGGCTTGGGATTGGTGGATTCCATTGAAAAGGTAGCTCTGGATTGGATGAAAGCGCCTGTAATCATTCTTTTCAGCCAATCATGGCGAGCGTATCTTGTCGGCGGTTCGAAGCGGGCGATGCGTTGTGCTCGTCCACTGGTACGAGCTACCGCCATCGTCTCGCCAGTACTTTAGAGCTTTGGACGTATATGATCTTGGAGGAGGCAAGCGTACGGCGACTCAAGCATCTTGCGAATGGCATTGGCGCAAAAAAGACGCAAAACGCCGATACGATTGGCTCGTAGGCGAAAGTTTTGGCCAATCGTGAGGGGATGTCATGTACAGCATTAGGATTGGCTATAATACAACGGTTTGCGCAACGTGGATAGGTGGATGCTCCATGAATACGCCAACCGATTGGTTATACAATTGTATAATAAGCCAATCCCAAGGCGGATATTCCGTCCATTCCTTTTGCGTGCCCATTTGAAGCTTGTCAAGATGGCCAACAACAAGCAGGACAAGCAGACGCGACGCAACGAGGCCAAGGCCAAGCGCCGCAGCAAGACCGCCACGAGCGCCAACTCGGTCGCTCTCTCGCATGCGCTGAGCCGCAGCCAGGTCAAGCCCGCGGCCGCGCCCGGCATTGCGCCGCCCAAGATCAGTGCGGCCAAGGCGCTCGCCCGCCAGAACCTCAAGATCAAGCAGAAGGAGCTGCGCCAGGGCCTCGTGCACAACAAGCGCAACACGGCCGCGGGCCTGAGCCTCGAAGGCCTCCTCGGCAAGGCGCAGACAGAGAGCCAAAAGTACGACGCGACCGAGGCCGAGCGCATTGCGGCGGCCGACGAGTTTGGCCGCGAGCTTATCCTCAACGACCACTCGCGCAAGCAGTACATGAAGGAGCTCAAGAAGGTCGTCGAGCGCGCCGACGTCATCCTCGAAGTGCTCGATGCGCGCGACCCAATGGGCTGCCGTACCATGGACATGGAAGACCTTATGCGCTCCAAGGGCAAGAAGGTCGTGCTCGTCCTCAACAAGATTGACTTGGTGCCGGCCGAGACGTTGCAGCCGTGGCTCGCGCACCTCCGGACGTCCTACCCCACGATCGCGTTCAAGGCGTCGACGCAGGACAAGAACATTTCGTCGAGCGGCATCTCCAAGGGCGAGAAGGCCCAAGGCAAGCTCATGACGGGCAGCCGCGCCGTCGGCACGGAGGCGCTCATGCAGCTGCTTAAAAACTACTGCCGCAGCGCCAATATCAAGACAGCGATCACCGTCGGCGTCATTGGGTACCCCAACGTCGGCAAGTCCAGTGTCATCAACTCGCTCAAGCGCTCCAAGGCGGCGAGCGTCTCGTCGATCGCCGGGCATACCAAGGTCATCCAGGAGATCCATTTGGACAACAAGATCAAGCTCATCGACTGCCCCGGCATTGTCTTTGACACGTCCGACTCGCAGCGCCTCATCTTGCGCAACTGCGTCAACGCCGAAGCCTTTAGCGACCCGATCCCGGCCGTCGAAATCATCCTCGGCCGGTGCTCGAAGGAGCAGATCCAAGCCCTCTACGACGTGCCGGCGTACACGGACACGATCGAGTTCCTCGTGCACCTCGCGATGGCCCAAGGCAAACTCGGAAAGGGCGGCATTCCGGATCGCAAGGCCGTCGCGCGCACGGTCCTCCAAGACTGGAACCGCGGGAAGATCCCGTTCTTCACGCCGCCGCCGGCCATCAAGGACACGCGTCTCGACGACGGCGTCATGATCGTCAACTCGTTCTCGGCCGACTTTGATCTGGACCAGGCGCTCAACCCAACGACGTACCTCGACACGGCAGACGACGGCGGCGACGACGTCGAGATGGCCCCGCTCCCGGGCATGGCACCGGCCAAAACTACGACGACGACGGCTGTGGATGCGACGGTCGACTCGGACTCGGACGACGATGACATGGACGACGACATGGACGACGACGACAATGACCACCGCCACGAGACGCAGACGCACCACGCGCCGCGGCCCAAGTTTGCCGAGGACCGGCTCAACCCGCAGACGGCGCTGCTCGCGCGGCGAAAGGCCAAGTCCCTCCGCAAGCAGAAGCGCAAGGACGCCAAGCAGCAGGTTGGCGCCGGCATTGAAGACGACTTTTGCAGTCAGCTCGACAACTTCAACATGTCGGGCTAACCCGTGTGCTCTAATTTTCTTAACTACCCACTTTTTTACCTCGATTACGTCGGAAGAGCCGCCCGCGTTCATCGCTGTTGGACGTGGGTACCAACATATCGTTGCAGCTGAGGATCCCAGCATCCCTTCTCAAAGGATGCCCGCAAGAAGGACGAATTCGCGTGGGAGTGTACTCCGTCGTATAGCTACCATCTTGGCTCAACGAGCCACCTGTCGATCAATTTCATTTCGGACCAAGGTGACGTGGCAACGGAGCTAGAAATACTGTCCTGTCCGTGCGTCTCGAGTGCGTTCCTTTGCATTGAGAGCTTGAGGCCTCGATACTTGGCATTATGCATACTAGCATTTTGCTCCTATTCTAAAAGCGTTCCACTGGAGGTAGCGCCCGAGCTCTCCTGTAGGAGGTCGAGGGCGATGCCCATGGCCAGGAGCACGAGCACGTCGTGGCTTGGGTACACTGTCAACTCGAACGACGACGACGTCGTTCGCGTCGGTGGTGCAGAGCGGGATGGTTTGGTCGCGGACGCCGGTCTCATTTGACGCCATTGAGCCATGAAGATGACAAATCCCGCACTGTTGCGCGCCGTCATCTCATAGTTGAGACCGGACCTGTCATTAGAGGTGACGCAGAGGGTAGCAAAGCCGCCGAGGAGCCCGGGGAGGTTGGTCACACCAAAAGCAATCTGCCCGTGGGCGCTGGTCGCGACAAGCACATCGACGAGGCTCTCGTCACGGCTCTGGGGATGCAGACGGCACGCCGGCATCGCACGGCGGACGACGACCGACGTCGGTGACACCCACCCGACTGCGGCAAGCGTGTGCCCGTCCAAGTCTTGCAGCGCGTAGCCGTGGTCGTGCGTCGTGGTCAATACAAAATACAAGATGCCACCGGGCCCCAACACTTGCCCGGCGTCGTGGGCTGTAGGCAGAAGCACCCGGAAGCACTAGCACAGGATGCAGACGACAACGAGATGGCATTCTCTACCGTGTCGTGGTCGTAGACGAGCAAGGGCAGTCGCAGTGGCTGGTGGCACGAGCTGCGCGAGCTGGAGCGCGCAAGTACCTTGGCCGTGAGCACCGCACGCTCCCAGTCGTGGCAGTAGACGGCTTGCACGATCGCCCGGGCTTCGTAGATCGCCCGCTGCCGCACGTGGTTGGCCCGAGTGCGCCACAGGTGCATCTGGCACGCGATCTCGCACACGCCATTCGCCTCGTCCGCGCCAAGGCGCAAGCCCACGTGCAAGCGCGGGTCCACGAGGATGCGCGGCGTGTCAAAGAGGCGCAAGAGGAAGCGGAGGACTTCGCGGGCGGAGCGGCGCCAGCCCAGGAGTGCGCCGAGAATCGGGTGCGGTATCGCCACCGCCGCGACTTCCTCGTACGCGGGCGGCGCCTGCAGCGAGGCCAAGAGCGCCCGCGCCGACGCGAGGCTCAGATGAAGAAACTTCTTGAAGCGACTGCCAGCGCGGTCGCACTCGAGACAGAAGGTGAAGACGCCCTTCTCGACGCAGCGCAGGCCAATGTCGAAGCAAACGCGCTCGTCTTCGACTGTCGGAAGGAAGACCGCCGTCGGCGTTAGCTGCGCCGGGTGCGGTGGCACGAAGAGCTCGAGGCCCTGGCGCAGGAGGCGGCAGTTGGTCATCGCGGCCGTCGCCCAGCACCAAAAAGCAAGATCGTTTCGGGCTCGTACATCCCGTATGTACGATTTGTTCGTACGTGTATGCTTAGCGTACATACGGAAGACACCTACCCCTAAAAGCAGGTGCACGCTTGCTTCACCCTCTCGGATAAAGGCTAGACAACACAACATTGTCCATGTTCTGTAGGCGTTGCGCTGTAGCGTGGGTTTGTTATTGTTAACTTGCAGAGTTATAGGCGCTAGCCAAGAGGATACACAAGGCGTTCTATCACTTGGGGATGGAACAACTGGTATCATCAGGTGTGTTAAGGTGTGCATCGGTTAGTTGATACTAGCCACGTACAACAAGACAACCTCCAAGGGTCTGCTAATGGAGTATTCTCGAATATTCTAGATGGCGGGAATCCGGAAGGCAGCTTCCGGATATTAGTGGTGATGATGGCCGGACACTTGGAGACCTAGCCTCGTGCTTCTCACTCCTGGATAAGCTCTGGACTGAGCCCTTCATTGTCTACGTACTGCATGTGAACTGACCTGCCCATGTCATGTTCAACATTTCAAGTACACGCGCGACGACCCGTCCTTGGACGGACGACTACGACGACGACGAAGGTAGAAGCCGAGACCGTACGACTAAGGCCCTGCGCCGACCGTCGCTGTCGGGGATTCGACCTTCACACCGAAGCCAGTCGCTACTGCATGCTTTCGCTGCGGTGAGCCTCTGTGCTGAGGTTCTCCGAAGTCTGTTATCTCACGATGTTGCGAAGCGACTGATGTGCGGATAGACTCTCGGCGCGTTGGTAAAGCTTCACCGCTTTCCAATGCACAAAGGTTTATTGGGTAGTCCCGAATCCTGAGGTTTCCTCTCTCTGCAGGACCTCACTTACGGATTTACTACCGAAACGTTGGCTGAGTCTCAGCTCTCCGATGCGAAAGGAACTTCTCCGTGGCATTCCATCCAAAGCGTCCACTGTGTGGTGCTGTGTGGATTGATCACTGGAGCTTCGGATGGCTTCGCGCCAACCGTTAGGCTATTATGACGTTGCGAAATGCAATCATCAAAGGTTAGGTGAATGCTAACGTCAATATTACGTTGAGGTCGTCTCACGAACGTGTTCCTGGGACCCTTAAGTAACAATTTGTGTTGCCGGGTGCTCTCGAACGGCATGATGACCTGTCCTCACGTGATCTCAAGACCAAACGGTACAACAACAGTACATTGGTCTATAGGTGTACGATAGTAAGGCCATCTTGTACTCGTACGAGTAGTCTGCCTGACCTATCGAATAAGGCCAACTTAGCACTACAGTAATGCGATTGTTGGACACCAAAGCCTGCATTGGGCACATGGAATCTGGTATTCCTGCGCTTGGTATGCGGTTGAAGGGGTGATGAAAGGGAAAGGACTTATTTTGCTCACAAAGCAAAGAAGGAACTGTCTACGTGATGGTACTAAGGTTCATTGTCCGTCGGATTGAGGACATTTGTACAGTATTGCGACTGTGCAAAGGCTATGCTTTGCTGTGCTGCAATATCGCACTGCACTTTGTCACTTATGCACTCTACGAGCCGCATTAGTTGATGATGCTAGCCGCATAGGATCAACTCTTCTGAAGTTGGAACTTGTCTGCGACGACGCAACTATCCAAGTGTTGCAGAGCTTTCTGCTTCGCATTGCTTGATGGTTGTGGTCATCAATACTGATGAGGTATCCTTTTGGGTGTTGCGAGGCTATGAATGCCACTTTACTTGAGGCTGCAAACATGGCTTACTTGTGTTTCTGTGCACAATATGGAGTATCTCCTAGTGCCGTCTGAAACGAGCTGTGGAGCAGTTAAGAGTGTGGTGTGTAGTACGTACGACCGACGTCTACGATACTTCCTCAATTGACGAGTTCATTCAATGGAGAATTGATGTCTTTATGACTACGCTGTGGACACATTGTCTTCACATCTCAAGGGCATTTCTGCTCGACCTAATGTTGTTGCACGTTTTGTGCACAACGATGGCGAACAAAACCATAAGGTTATGGACAACTAGTCTTACATGGACGACTTGTCTTTTGTGGGTACAACGTACATACATCACTTGCGCTACTGCGTTGTACTTTTGCAACGGGTCCTGGCACCGGTACAGTACCTGTATCAAGCCAAGATCACGCAAGTCGATGTTATGGCGACCACATCTTAGCAGCTTCATTCGAAGCGCATCAAGGGCAACGAGTATATAAACTCAAAGGGCATAAGGTTTTCATGACGCAGGCAGCTCTACCTGTGGTCCTGTGGGCCATGGAAGGCTAGCAACGCTGCGTCATCTAAGGGTGAGCCTAGTTATCGAGCCACGTGTCATGCATGACAATCTTTAATGATTTGTCTCCATACATTAAGATGGACACTGCATCAACCCGGGCACTGATAACAAAGCTCAGTGTGGACATTATCGTCTGCATGCCTGACTACTACGTCTACCTGCGTACAGGAAAGGTGGGAGACTGCGTCTCGCTACCTGTAAGGAAAGGTTTGAGCATCATAGTGCTATGTCACTGCTCTCATTAAGGAGAAAGGAAGTGTTGTAAGGCATATACGAGACTCTTATGGACTCTTCTGTCTGAAGGTCTAGTCGTCTCTGACTTCCTAAAGGGAACTACAGCTATCGCTCATGGATCGTGACGGGATATAGTGTTATCGCAGTTTAGCGAGCACAAATCCTCCACGATGCTATGCTGTGAGGCTGGCTGTAAGGAGTCTTTCATCATTTGCTGCAGTGCGCAGACTTGTCCTCTGCCCAGCGATGGATAGACTACAGTAAGCGGCTCTCGAAGCTTGCTTACATCAGGAATTCTCCTACCACATAGGACGTGGCGCCAAGCGGCAAACCTTTGGTTTCGTTACGGTATAATACCGGACTACCTCGTCGGTGGGAGATCTGAGGTGAAGGAATCATGACTGGAAAGAAGGAGAAGGAAGGTTCCAGACTCATGCAGCCTCTATGGCAACTACTAGCTAGTACCACAACAGTGGGAGCTACACTACTAGTAGACTGACGCGAGTGGGTTATGCCGATTCATGATGGTGCGAGATCATGAGCTCGAGGCATTCATCGGTCAATCAAAGGCAAGTAAAGGAACTTGAGAAAAGGCTATCTTGTGACTAGCGACCGAGGTCGAATTGAGGTGGACGCACCAATATATTCAATGCCATCGCTTGCTACTGATGTCACTAGTGTGGTTGACGAGGTGTCGCCAAAGGTATAGGATGAAATGCGCGCATCCGACCCTCGATCGCTTCAACCCACTAAATGTATTTACTGCCGTACAGGACTAAGTCCGATACGGATATGGAAGGGCATCTCTACGATGCAAAAGGACTTCAGAGGCCATCCTTCGGGATAACTTTGTCTTCATGTGACCTATGGTCGGCAAGGATTTGCAGAAGCTAACCTTGTGAAGACTGGTGCCATATTATGTACAATATGTGCTACTACACAGGCTTGATGAAGCGAAACACTTTGTCCTCGACAAAAGTCCAGCTATGGACTGTATGCTTCGACCTCAAGGATTTTTGTGGCAACTACCTATCTGAAAAGGTACGGAAGTGCTACTCTCGGTGCAACGGCGCTTTGCGTCTGCACGCTTCTTTCCCTATTGGTTTTTGGCGCCAATGAATGACTAGCTCATTTTCGTCAAAAAGGTGGGAGAGAAGAATATAGAGGAAAGGGAAGTTGGCACGAGGGCCAATTTCACGACATCGTGTCCATGACACAATAGTGTAGTCCCAATGGATCACTGCTGTATGCACGAAAGTATCACTACAGTGCTCGAAGCATGAATCCAAGAGGCTATGCTGGATGTCAGGTACCTTGCATGCGTACTCTGGGAGTATTGCATCGAGGAGTCGGGCGGTGGCGCACTTGGTGAGCCACTGGAAGGAAATCCTACATGGAGCTAAGGACAAGCTCATGTACGAGTGTTGCTATGACATGCATCTCTCGATGGATTACTTAAGGAATAAGGCTATGGCTGCACAGCAACGTCTGCTTGGGCACAACTATTGAGATAGTTGAAGCCAATGCTGGTCTGTGCTTGTCCCTACGTCGATTACCGAGGTAGTGGGAGACTTGGATCACAGAATCCAAAGAGCCATGACTTTTATCGGAATAAGGCTACCTGAGAAATCAGACGCAACAGACTAAGGAAACGACGTCTGTGGTGAGAAGGGTTGTTGATGCAAGTCTCGAAAGAGCTTGAGTGACTTTTGTCCGCTGGCAGCTGCGAGTAATCCGTTAGTGGGAGCTTGCTGCAAGCAAGACAATCGTAACTCCAGGTCTACGACCTACATCGACATATTAAGGATCGAAAGGTTCTAGGCGCAAATCCTTTTCGTCCAAAAGGTCCTCTTTGCTCAAAAGGGAATGGATCGTGTGCGGGATTACTTGAAACAACGGAAATACGAGCTGCTTGCAACTTGTTATTACCAAAGTTTCGCGAATCTACTAAACGATCGTTCTAAGTGATCGAAAGGACTGCATGGAGCACGGTTCACGTCATCGTGGACAGTGAAGGGTTTTAGAGGAGTCAAACCAGAGATGCTCTAGTCTACGACGGCCTTGCCCGTGCGTTATTCTAGCCTCGGTTTTATACAACGTGTTTAAAACATGTTGCCTCTCTAAGGTACTAGTAAAGGATATGATAGCCTCCGAATGGACGGCTACGATGCGGAAGCATTACGAGGCGAGCAACCATGCTTTGCAGTATCACCTAACCACTGAGTGGGAGTGTTAACTTGCAGAGTTATAGGCGCTAGCCAAGAGGATACACAAGGCGTTCTATCACTTGGGGATGGAACAATTGGTATCATCAGGTGTGTTAAGGTGTGCATCGGTTAGTTGATACTAGCCACGTACAACAAGACAACCTCCAAGGGTCTGCTAATGGAGTATTCTCGAATATTCTAGATGGCGGGAATCCGGAAGGCAGCTTCCGGATATTAGTGGTGATGATGGCCGGACACTTGGAGACCTAGCCTTGTGCTTCTCACTCCTGGATAAGCTCTGGACTGAGCCCTTCATTGTCTACGTACTGCATGTGAACTGACCTGCCCATGTCATGTTCAACACAACTTGAATGTCATAAAACTAAAATTAGGTGACATTCGTCGCTTCTACCGACGACAGCGCGACGTCTAGCCCGTGAACCCCAACCCTATGAAGCTGCACGATCACGTATAACGAGCCAATAAATTGGTTACAAGAGCGAAGCGAGGGCCGCACGGTAGGCGTCAGGGTGCGCCATGTAGTGGGCGACGTGCGCGCTCGTCTTGAAGTCGACGCTCTCTACGCGGGCGCCGACGGCTTTGGCCATGAGAGCTGTGGACATAATCCTATCAAAACGACGAGGAGCGCGCAGGATCGCAGCGCGAACAGAGCTGCTCAATCTGTACAATGTCCGTAACGACGTTGCCTTGCACATCTATGCATGTCTCTTGAGCGACGACACCATCCTCGTCCAAATCACCGACCAACGACCGAGAGCGCGTCGTGCATGCTCAATGAACTAATATCGCTGATGCTGGCGTAGCCAGTCGAGGTATCGGGGCTTCGTAGCACTTGCCTGTGTTACGTGGGCCGTTCTGGCGATGCCAAGGATCTGGGTTAATGGCCTGAAGCGAGCCCTTGGAGTATTGATGTGTGGGAGGCACAGAAACAACTTGTCTGGGAAGATCAACACACTTCATTATGCAACATAGAAAGAGATAGAAAGCTCAAGCTGTGAGAGCGTCGAGGCGCGCGTCGGCGCGGGTGCGCTTGTGCTTGCGGTGGAGACGGTAGTAGGTCCAGTCGCGGCAGAACGTACACATGTACGTGCCCGCCAAGAGCACCGTGTTGGTCGCCGACGTGAGCGCGTTCGGCTGGAAGAGCGCACACTCGTCGCAGCACGGCTCCGGCCCACGCTCGCGCATGTTGAACGGATGCTCGTCCGTGAAGCTGACCATGACAACCTTCTTGGTGGTCGCAGCCAAGGGATGGGAAACGTCGTCGTCTTCTTCAAGGAGATCGTCTGGAGCCGCATCCGTCGACGCGGCCGGAGCGACGCTGCCAGAGGCGTCGTGTTGAGCTCGGAAGTCGGCGACTTTGGGCAGCGGCGGCGGAATCTCGCCGGCCGCAATCGCCTTCTTTCGCGCCCGACTAGGAAAGGACATGAGAAAACCACTCGGTTTGATCGCAAGGACATCGTACCGAGCTCGGCGGTATGCGTTTTTGTACGCCGAATTCGCCATGTACCACGACTTGTCCTTGGCCAGGCGGACGTCTTTGCTCTTTTGTCTGTATTCCTTCTGCTTCGTCGCAATCTTCTCCTTGTTGGCTGCGCGGTACTTCTTTTTGGCCATGCGCTGCTGCGCCTTCTTGACGTCGTACGCCTTCTTCGTGGCCGCAATCTTCTCCTTGTTGGCTGCGCGGTACTTCTTTTTGGCCATGCGCTGCTGCGCCTTCTTGACGTCGTCCGATACTTCCATGGCTTGTTGGAGAATGGCACGACGAGCCCGTTGGATTCGATTCTTGTATCCGGACGACTCTGAGCTGGCAGGCTGTGCGCAGCACATTATCCGGATAAAGCAAACGCACGTTGCTCAACTGGACGATGGCGCGTCCCATGCGCTGGCGACTGCGTTCGATCGCAAAATGGCATCAAGTGATCGAACGAGGGCTTCTGCCTAAAGTACACTGTCGTGCATCCTCATCACGCCATGTCCCACGAACCTATTCATGGTACCAAGCCACCGACAACGAGGCTTGCTTTCAATTCGTTTACAGTGAAACGGCGTACATGCTGCCACGTATTTTTATCCGGACATTTTTCTGTCAACACCCTGTGGATCGACGCGCAACTCGGCCATGCCACGGACTGTTGGGGCAAGCCTCGCAGCTGCGCACATTGATCACAACCAGACTCCCATTGCGACTGCCGTGCTGCCAGGTCGGAGGTAGTACACTTGGAACGCGACATGTACAGCATGAGAAAGATAGAGGCCGCCTCGTCTACTTCGATGGGCGTAAGCGGCTTGCGCCATGGAAAAGTACGACGGCGTGAAGATGTCCATCTTGCCGGCAGCGACAATGTCGTCTTCTTGAGCATGAGCGAGACCTTGACCGTACCTTTCAGCGCAATCTTGAGAAACTCGAGCGTCGAAACGAGGATGTGCGTGCACTGGCGGCCGAGCCACGTCATGCGGAAGCCCTGGAGCGTAAAGTACTTGCCTTCGAGCGTGTCGTACCACGGACTCTCGTCATTTCATAAAGTAAAATTAGGCTTGCACCGACGACAGCGCGACGTCTAGCCCGTGAACCCCAACCCTATGAAGCTGCATGATCACGTATAACGAGCCAATAAATTGGTTACAAGAACGAAGCGAGGGCCGCACGGTAGGTCTCAGGGTGCGCCATGTAGTGGGCGACATGCGCGCTCGTCTTGAAGTCGACGCTCTCGACGCGGGCGCCGACGGCTTTGGCCACGAGGATCGCGTCCTCGACGTCGGTGGCGACCACCATGGTGTCGGCGCTCGAGTACAAAAAGAGTTTGGGGATCGCACCCGTTGTGCAGATCTGCGACTCGAAGAGCTGCGTGAACGGATGATCCCATCGCAGCAGCCACGCGAGCGCGCTCCACGCGACCATGACGAGCTTCATGACGCCGTAAAGAGCGCCACGCGCCACCGGGTTCTTGACGTGTGCTACGAACGGGCGCGGGTCGCCGACACCGCCGCGGACCATACTCGGCGCCGAGTCAAAGACAAACGACGTGACGATGTACGGCTGTTGGCGCCGCTGAAGGTGTTGCTCGAGGCAGAACCAGGACCGTGCACCGCCATTCGACATGATGTGCACGTGAAGGCGCAGCGTTTGAGTCGGATCACAGAGGCGCGCAGCCGTCTCGGCGGCAACCGATGTCCACGGAGTGAAAAAGTCCAAGCCGCGGCTCAGTACGATTGTGCTTGACGAGAAACCGAGGTCGCTGTAGAGCGCCGCGTACTTGGTGACGTGGCGCGACATGCCGTGCATCCAGCCACAGACGACGACATGGACGTTGCTCTTGTCGTCGTCAGTTGATTGCGTGTACCATGGCGAATGCTAGAATGGGGTGCTTTGCAGCACGGCGGACTGGAAAGGGTGTAGGTTGCGAATTTGGGAAATTTGGTTAGTATGACTACAATAGTCATCGTCCCACCGAGTTCAACAGATGTTAAACATTGATCGAAGGACGCCGGCAAAACTCGAACCAAGCTTGTAAGCCAAGGTTGTTGCAACCAAAAGATGTCGACTGCAGCCTGAAGGAAAGGCACTGAATTCCGTGCATTGGAATCGAGTGCGTGGTGTAGCGTTAGGCTGAACCGCGTTTTGAGGGCTACATCGAGCCATCCTCTCTCGCCCTGACGCTTCATTTGACTCACCATTGCGCTAACAAGACGCCACCACAATATCGCACTAGACGATTCAACTGGGCCTTGGTGCCCTCTGCCGGCGATACTTTTTCTCGTTGGGTGCTCTAACATCCTGACGATAATGTTACGAGCAAACCGCCACCAGTGTTCCGATAGGCTGGCGAAGGCGGAGCTGCACGCGTACCTTTGCAGTGGGCGAGGCAAGTTGATGAATCAGTTCGAATCGGTCACACGTTTTCATCTATGGTGCGGCACCTGGCCCGGAATCTCGGGAGCTAATGGAATGAACGGGGCAAAACAACTCCGCCAACAGACATCAAGCGGTCATGAGAGGCTTTCTTTCAACAAAAATCACACCTCACGCTGAGTTCTCACTCGTCCTTGCCTCTCTTGGCACAAAGCAGCAGCAGCCTTGGGCAGCAGGAGCCAACCGGAGCCGAGGGCAGTGGCCCTTATTAATATTTCACCGCAATGGAAATCATCGAGGGTAAAGTCCTTTATAGTGCGCTGGACACAATCGCACACAGAGACCCATCGGCCAATCCCCGAGATGGATACTCAGTGAAGCAGGAGGGGCGGACACACGAGCACACGTAATCGTGGGCAACCTTGGTATCGTGATCTGGTCGCGCATCGAACCCACGATGTCAACGTGATGCGCTTGGTGTCGAGAACCTCCCGGAAATGATGCACTCAATTTTTTTTAGAGGCCCTTGAGGCGCTGGACGCGCAGCGAAGCGACCAACGTACATATATATACAGCTAGTATATGCAACCTATCAAGAGTCCGCGGAAGACTCTCAGCCTTGAAAGCGTCTTGCTGGGCCAACAAAAGCGTGGCAACGCAGCCGCTTGGACCAAAGGGAGCTTCGCCGCCACGCAAGCTCTTCACGCATGGTCCGAGCTGGCTTGATCCACGCCGTGGCCGCATTGAAAAAGTGTCCGCAATGAGCTCGCACAGATTGTCGCGAGCTTCGCTGAGGGCACACGCAATCACGGCAGCGCAACTTTGTATGCCGATACGCGCGGTAGTACAGCAACATATGTGCAAGTCTACTCTTTCTCCGCGTTGCATTATCTTCAACGCACTCATACAGGAAGGTTGCGCAGTGGTCGTTGCAATCAGCTCCCGCGTTGGTGCGGGGACGCATGTATCTCGGCTTGCCGCCGAGCATCCAAGTACAGCATAGCCGCCTCCTTCTCTCATTCAGCGCACGTGAATATCTAAATCGACCTTGACGACGCTTTGCATCTACTTATTCGGTAGAGGTATGATGCAAGGACGCCAGCTTCGCTCATTAAAGCTGTCGGTCATTCTTGTAAAATGTACGTAGGCGACGAGAAAGCAGAGTGTCCAGTGTCCAATCAAACACGCGTATGCTCGATAAACGCCTTTGATTGGTGCAAACGGTATCCAGAGCGCTGGTCACTACTCGGTGCTGGCGCAACGTGGGCGACAAAGCTGGGCGACAAGTCGTCACTATGGTTTCCGGGCAAAGGGCATATGGCAAAGCTTCCTGCCTATAGCGTTCAAAGGGTTTGGTCGTAGCTTCCGTTGATATTGCCCGCATATTAAAGGTTTTGTGAAGTACTAGGATGGAAATAGGGCGAAAGCGTAGAAGCCACCGAAACGCGCCCTATCCTGATCGCGACCGGGCAGTGCAACACGGAGCTGCGCATTCGTCGCCCTCCGAACGCATCCGTTCTCTCACCACATTGCACTGCTCTGCTGCACCGCTTTCGAGAACCAAATATTCACAACGAGCCCATCGCGCTTTTCCCGAGCTCGCGCCATCCACTGAACACTGTGGGACGACTGGTGCTTGGTACAGGCACCCAGCTCACGTCATCTTCACTGGACGATAGCGTAAATTGACGAATCTGCTCAGCAAGATTGCGTGTGCTTCTCTGCGCAGTTGCACGGCCTAAAAGCTTCCCTCTCGTAATGGGCGCCATCTGTCCCACCGGCTGTACGTCAATACGTGCGACAGCGATTGTCGATCAGCAACCGCGGGACCCCGTTCCTGCGCCAAACAACAGATACAACGCTGCGCCCGAGAAGGTTATTCGAATTTTTAATTTGAGTGGTGCGAAAAAAGGAGCACACTGGGTGGTGCCAGCAGACCGAGCTCCATACGCGCAATTTCATTTTCAATAAAGCCGCATCATGGATCTACCTCGTCTTTTGACGACTCCCACCAGTACCGAGACTCTGCGGTCTGGCGCGTGGACGCACGAAGAAGTGATGTACATGGCCAGCCTCTTGCGTGCTTTTTCCCTCGGCGCACTGCCTGCTGTGCCCGATGGCACCCAACTGCGCGGCTTCCTCGCGTCCGAGCTCGGCTGCAACCCGATGCGCGTCTCCAAGAAACTCGGTCACGGCCACCTCGACACGCAGCCTCTCGCGCCGCGCATCGGTCGACAGAGCTATTGCCGCGACATCACTCTCTCTGTGGAGAAAGTCCAAGCAACCTTACTCCATTTGAACGAGCTCCGACGCTCGTTCTTGGAGACTGCCGCGTCGCTCAGCGTGACGTCGCGGCCAAAGCGCACTCGCTCGTCCATGCAAGCGCATCACGGCGGCCACTGGCGCTACGAAGAAGAGCTCTACGCGTTCAAGCTCGTCGAGGCCTTCATGCTCGGGTACTTGCACCTTCGCGACGGGTCGACGCTGCGCGGGTTCGTGGCCGGTGAGCTCGGCTGCTGTCCGATGCGTGTCACGAAGAAGCTGGCCACGGGCATGCTCTGTGGTCGGCATTTGCCCCGACGCCTCGGACGGGTGGTGTACACGGAGCCGCGTCAGACGTCGATCGAATTGGATCAGGTGGCGCTCGCGGCGCGAGAGGAGCTCCGTCGGTTGCGGAAAGCGTATTTGCGATCAAGCGACTTGCTGTAGAGCTTCAGTTTTTATTTGACCCTAACCGCCACTATGAAATCGTGTATTCTTCCAAGTACCGTATTCAAGTCTGAGCTTTGCCACCGAAAATGCATGCAAAGGTAGCACCTTATTGGAGCGTATGTGGTGGCTGTGATCTGCGTACGGATATCTCTCGTCTGTTCGTGTCGGCTCAGATAGAGCACATGCCGTCGTGTGACGACACCGTGGGATGCTGAACGACTTGCATGAGCGGTCTACGAACTGGTCTACGACATCCCGACACGCCAACATGCTGCACTCGGTTTCAACAGGTGGTCTTTGCTCGGACCCCGCACAGCGCCGTGATCACCAGGACCCGCAATCATGCGCGATGCAATCCTGTGACTGGAGGCGGATGATCTCTACGTATCCGGCCCTCGCACGTCATCACCTTGTCAGTGATTTCGTGTTGTTGTTTGCTTCATCTTTCGCCGACGAAGTTGAATTGGGTCGTGGCCGAGGTGCATCGACAATGACACTCATCACTGCTGTGGGCGGTAGCTGCGGGCGGTTGTATTTGGCCGCACTCTGCGCTGCCATCTCTCGTTTGCGTTGGAGTCCAGGCTCGGCACCAGCCCAGCGCCATTGCCAGCACATGAAATCGACGTCGACGGTCCTCACGACCTGCGACTGGCAGACGAGAGCGTAGTATGCCGAATGAGCCCCAGGGACTGGGCTGTGAGGAGGTCGTTGCGGCTACTGAGGAGCTCGACCGCGCTCCAGTCCAGCTTTTGGTAGCGCTCAGCGCTCTTGGCAACCGGGCACGCTTTGGACGACGACGCTCATCTCGGGGTCTGACGACGATCTGCCATCGTCAGGCGGCCAATCGCATTGGTTGATGGGCACGCGCGCACTGTGATTGGTGGAAAGTAGGCACCACGGTTGTCATCGCCATCCTCTGGCCCGTCATTTCACACTCAAAGATGTGATGCGCAGCAAGAAATGGCCCTGCTAAGGTGCCCCTCTTCACCACGAGCGCACTATCCACGAGCAAGTTGCTCCAGTAGGTGGTGCTGGTCTGCAGACAACGGAGCTAGCGTGGACGCAGAACTAGCTGTGACGTCGCTCACACAGTGGAGCGACAGGCGACCAGCTATTAGGATTCTTGGTCGCGTCGTAGGGTGCAGTTCTATTATGGGACGCCTTCATGGCCCGATGCCTGCGTTTTATTCGTCCTGGCAAGATTTCTTTACGAGTGACGACTGGGAATGTTGCGATCTAGCCGTCGGTCGTTGTGATGGGCACTGCGACTGGAGGACTTGGCCCACACACTGCATTCTTCTTGCTCGCGGTGGGCTGTGGGACGAAGCGTCTGTGGCGAGAGACTCGCCATTGATAAATTGAGTACCAAAAGCAAATAAATACGTCGGATATGATCCTTCATTCTGCGCTAGATGTATCCGCACGCAGAGAGCTGCAAGTGCAAGGGGTCGCAAGCCAAGCTACTTTATACTGCCAGTTAACAGGTTTCGATGAGCGAGGAGTAATCGCGCGCCAAGATTGTTGTTGAAGTGAGTCTATTTAGATATAATTTACACTGAACTGGAAATGGTGGTGGACTATCGATTCCAAGGTGCTACGACGAGCCGGCCGCCGAGAGGCTTAGCCGAGCGGGAGACGCGGCGTGTAAACGGCACATGCGGAAC